AATATCATAGTATTCACTTTGTTGCTTTTCTATAACTTTTACTGTAATTCAATTTGTTTTGTTGTTGACCAAGGGATCATTGAAAAGAGTTTATTTTTTTTTTGATCTTTTTGAATTTACTATATGAAAAGTTTTTATTCTAAATATTTGCAATTATTAGAAAAACATATATTATTAAACTGTTAAATATAACGGGTATAATTAAAAATTAGCATGTGCCTAACTGAGTAATAAAGCAGGGGTTAGAGAAGGTTAAATTCTCAATACAGCAATAGTGTTCAAAAATACCAACCTTGATAATATTATTAAAATAAAACGTATTTATTTCATCTAGGTTTTCTTGCATTTTCAAATTTATTAAATTATTAACCATTTGTCGATTTGCTAAAATTTTGATTCGATAATTTTTAGTCATTTCTTTTTCGCTGAATTTTAGACGGCCTAGAAATAAAGACATTTGCCTATATAATTTACTATACATTATTTAAATTATTTAAATAACACTCGTACGTAAGCAGGTGGTCTTTTAACTAAGTAGATCGAAAATTGGGTATATGTGGTTGCTAATATTTCTGCATTTAAGCTTATCGCAATTTTTTCAGTATACTATCAGTGACAAATTTATATAAAATTGGCGTATACAACTTTCTTTTTTAACAGAAAGTTTCATTGCAAATCAGCTTTTTCCTATCTCAGTAACAAAGTTACAGAGTTGCTTTTTATATTACAATAAAATACTTTTTTCTAACTTATTTTACCCGTATTTATTGTTTGATGAAATTTAAGCTGCCGGTAAAAATTTTTTTAATTAAATATAAAATTTCACTGTATCTTTCATTGTAGAGGCCTTCTATTGATTCATTCGATAACTTCTGCAATACTTAGATGTTTCGTTCGATATTGTATTGCCAACAATTAGAATGATAAGCAATAAGTAAATAAACATTTTGCTAATTAAAATTGATTATTAATCAATATGTTTTGTTGCTAAATTCAGTGACGTAACTTTTTAAGGGATATACTAGGTTCGTGATCTAAAAATGGTGTTTGGGAGATTATTTTAATAAATGAGCGTCGTCAAAAGAAACTTGTTATCGGGCTTTCAATTATATGGGCAATGGAAAGTTAGTATCAAACTGAATAGATGATTCCACATGATTGATAATTTTTTTAAAAAGCTTGGGTAGCTTAATTTTCTATGAAACGAAAATAAATTTAACGGATAAATTACTGTTTTGCTTCGCCCTATAACATATTCTTTGAACCCCTGTTAATCTCACAACTTTTTTTTTTTGCAATCTGATTGGCCGACTTGCAAAAAACTCGAGATACGATTGGTTGACACTGTAATAATATTGAAATCATCTACGAATTTGAACATTCGCTCCTGTTGCCAAACTGTGATTTTTCTAAATTATCCAATCAGCACATATTATACGTAACGTATATTACGTCATGATCAGATTGTTAATGGATAAACCCGATGGCAGGTTTTCCATTAACGGCACTCGCACATAATATTGATTTTATATATATAATTTGATTTATTAATTCTTTAATTCTAATGTTTAAGTGCTATCAAGTAATATTAGAGTGTTTAAATGTGGATTAACATAAAATTATTATTTATATTTAGACTCCCTGGTTTTTACTTGGTAATACTTGCTGATTAAAAGTGTATCGCCATGAAATAGTATTCCATGTCCCTGATTTTAAGCATAAGTGTATGACTAAATTTATTATTTTTCTACAGTACAAAGCATGCTAACGATGATAAATTGATATAAAATAGAAGTATACTTAATCATGTATATAATAAAAACAATAATATTGATCAATTTATTTTATTTTATTTTTTTTTTACAAAATCTTTGTGTAATCCGTTGTCACGTGCAAAACTAATTGTGACCAGAAATAGCGTGATTCAAGTCTACAATCAATAATTGCGTCTCGAGGCATTTTTTAATTTTCCTCTACGCTTTCTTAACAGCATCAATCATAGGGACAAGATCTAAAAATTAACAAAACGAAAAATCACATTCATCTTAAAATATCACCTAAGAAATCGCCTTTCATGCACTATAGCCAATCAATAAGAAGTGTGGGGAAATTAAAAATGCTGATTCATACATGCATCTTCCCCTTAATCGATACACCAAATCTGGTATAGATCGAAAATACAGCAAATAAGATTTCAAAGTAACAAGATGGAGAACAATGGGCAAATCAAAATAGTGGGAAAATCTAGAAAATGAAATGCAAAAAACCGTTAGTAGATAATTAGAAAAATATGTACCCGGAGCAAAGCGGAAGACACTCTACTTCTCTGCAAATTTTATTCAAGGCTAGTGCAGGTTTGTCAGCCAGTTTACAAATTTAGCGTGGACACCATGTACAAAAATACTTTTTTGAAAAAATTATTCATAACAGCTGTTACATGTAACACCCATGTACTTAGCCGATAGAATTTATATTTAGTGTTTGGGGTACACGAATTTTTGTTTATTCTTATTGGCTATTTTAAGTAGATGTTACAAATAAGGCGTGTGACATCATGTTACAATTAGATTCGTTTTAATTTTTTTTAAAGTTATATACAATTAAGTCTACAATAAATACATAAATCCTAATTTATTCTAGGAATGTCTTTCTAATTACATATAGGTAACAATCTCTGTCATAACGATAAATCATATTAGTATTCCCATTTTTGATGTACTGTACATAGCTTACCGAATACCCCAGCGGGCCGGCCACAATATTAATGATGAATTTTCAACATTGAATAGAACCTATAATAAATTTATTAAAATTAGATTAAATTTGAATATTTTCTGATTTATGAAGCGAAACTTTTTAGGGGGAACAATAAGTTCTCAACACATTACGTCAAAATTTTTTGATTATCGTTATGTGATCAAGATTAGACAAAATTGGAATTATTTATTGCACTGTTTGCATTCAGATTACGTATTTCGATTATTTGTACTTTAACCGTTTAGGTTGATGTTTATCTAATTTTTCACACAGAAATCTTGAATTGAAAATACGGTACATTATAAATATGGCACATACATACGTAAAAAATCTCAATATCTTTTTTTTTTCAGACTATTTAATAATGAAGTTCTTTTATATTGTTTTCTTTATAATTTTAATCATTTCAAAAGCTGAGCAAATAAATGCTCGAAAATGGTTTGAATCATCAATTCCTAACAATCCAATCCAACAACATATTCAACAACATATTGAACAACAAATTCTTCAACAACCTTATTCTCAATTAGAAGATATTCGACAAGTTTCGATTTTGGCACCAATAGAAACTTATCTTATAAACTCAACTGCTATTACACATGAATATGAAGCAACTGTTAAATGGACGGGTTATTTTGTTGAAAAAGATGGTATAATTTCTTTATGAAAAAAATCCTTTGAGCATCGTTATTAATATCAATAACTTTATACAATATAATTTTTTATCGTTATTACAACTTTTAATTAGAATTTGTTACGATTACATTAACTTGTGGTCCAACTAACTTTTTCTCTTCTGTTACCGTTAGCGTTTGCCCTTCGCTAGGAGTATGTTTTGTTTGTTTTTTTTTGTTTTTGTTTGATCTTACAAAATCCCTGTATACATTTCATTAAAAAATTTTTCTTTTCACAATAGACACTTGAATTCTCTAATAAGAAATTCACATTCAAAATTAAAGTGTATGACGTAAATAATGAGTCAACATATTTGCAGTGTCTTGCTCTTTTGAATCTTGGCTCTAATAAGTTCATAATTTCTGGTGTTACTTTTTTTATCAAATAATAATTTAAAATCACATTTCTCATTGTAATAATTTATATATCATGTTTTAAATTCATAAATATAATTTATTAGCTTATTGGATAACAGATTAAGCTTTATTCAAATAGCCAGAAAATAAGTTATTCATACATATATTCAATATTAAATTTAGGAGAATTTACAAATAAGGGCCCGGAAAGTGAAAATAATTACAAATACGGGCCCAAATTAAAAATAATTACATATAAGGG